CCCCCCTTCTTAATTTCATTTCCGGATTTGAAGGACAGAAGGGACCCTTTGGATCCTTTGGGTTGATCTCCAGAGTAAACATCAGAGGCCCTCGCTTCTACTCAGTTTTCAATTGCTGCATGTCCTCTTCATATCTTCTGCATTTACTCAGAAATCACCCCATTTCCCTGGATATAGTCTTGCTTTGTCTTAGCTTCGTTCATCTCCTCTGTACATCTGCACTGCTGCAACCACAGCTCACGGTTGCAACTCTCTCTTCTCACTCCATATGAAGATTTCCACCAAGCCATGCATCTCTTCCTTTTACACCAGCCTCAGTTCATTTCTAGCCTTAAATCTAAATACTCTTCTCTAAACATCCACTTTTACCGATGTAATCTGGCTAATGGTAGGTCCAGGACTCACTAACAAAGAACTCAAGTGCTGTTACATCAAAGCCCTAAAGCCAGACCTGTTGTTCCAAGCTCTCTGGAGCAACCAGGCAACTCAGACTCAGCTTTCTCCCTGATGGATCTTCTTATCAATTCACCTCTTTTTAAAGGTGCTGCCTTTACCCTCACCCCAATGTCAAATATACAATCTCCGGTACTGGTTTACTGCAAAATTTATATATGCTACTTACCCTAATATCACCTAATAGGAATATTCAGTTATTTTCACACCTGCCTCAAGCTTCCTGCCAGTCTTCCCATCTTTCATAGGAGCATAATTCAATCCCATAGACATTAACCATGTGTTCTATAAATTTAACCTGAGCTGAAGAGTATCCACAGCTGTATTTGCACTCAGCAATGGCACCGCGACACAAGTAACAAGGCAAGAACAAAAGAAGGGGACACCTCTCGGGATCAAGCCAGTCACCTGTTTATCAGACCTTTAAAGACTTGTGAGTTGGTTTGGTTTTTGGTTTTGGGGTTTTTTTTGGTTTTTCTTTTCCTTGAAGAGAGTGCGGTTTTGTTAATTTAATTTTGTTAATTTTCTTAAGCTTTAAGGGTGAAACTCAGGTTTAATCTCTATACTGATTCAATTTTTCTGCAGCTTGCAAAAGACAGCAGTTTTCATAGAAATGTCCAGCCTTATGTTCCTGTTCCTTGTGGTCTGGATCAAGCACATTTCAGTACTTAGCATGCTCAGGTCTTATCAACAATCAAACCAAAACCTTGCTGCAACCCCACTCAACACCCGTTCCTAAGGAAGACCTCATGGAGTAGGCTTATGTCTGGATCCTGCTGAGACCGGCGGTTCTTCATGTTTTAGAAAACTGCCTGTTAAATGGGAAAGAAGTCACATTCCCTACCTGCAGGGCCTTGCCCTACGGATTTGATCACGAGTAAGCTGGATGGACCAGTTGGGGATTCCCACGTGAACGGCTCTAATCTCAAGCGAGTCAGACACAACATGACCTAGCGCTGAAACCCCGGGGCAGCGAGCTGCCACCTGACATCCTGAAGTGCCAGAAAGGAGGCATTTCTGCTTCACAGCACACCGTAACAGAAGAAATGCAGCTTGAACTCTTCACTTCTCATCACTCGGTCCACAAGCAACGCCGGGAAATGTCAGACAAGCGTCCAACCTGGCTGCACCAGCCTCTGCACTGAAGGGACCCTGGAGCACCACAGATCTATCCCTTCCATCTCCTTCACAGCTCATGGCCCCGCATCCCCAAAGTCACTTCTCCACCTCTCCCACATGGATGAGGCTGTGAAAGAAAGGTCTGAGCACTGGATGTACGAGTGCCAAGTGGCAAACTTCCCCGGGCAAACAGCAGCACGTAAACCACGAGGTGAGACTGGACTAACTGCACTTAATAAATCCACTCATGCTCTTAACAGTGGGGGTGTGCAATCCCCTAAATAGTAGGGGAAAGCCATCTGGAGAGCATCTTACTCTATATACAGATTCATCAATGCCACATGTAGACATGCACAGGCTGAACATACGTTTCTCACCGAGTATAAATAGCCTGGCAAACACTCAGATTTGAGCAGCCTGAGAAGGATTTTTTTATTTTTATTTTAATTTAAAAGAAAAAAAAAATCTTGTAAATTCTTAACTGACAGAGGAACATTTTTGCAACTTGACTGGCGACATCTGCAAGGCTGCAAACAGCAAAATCCACAGCAAGGGACAGAGAGGTTGTCTTGTCACTGATCTCAAAGTAATAGTACCTGCATCCCTTTGGTTAGCAAGGCAAAGCATCCTCCATATCTTCTCTCCAAAAATGCAAGTGGGCAGCAATCAGCATTCACTTGCTGACATCTAGTGTCAATAATAAGTATTGTGGTCCTGCCTGTAAGATGATTTTCCGCAGGCTCCCTCTGCCACTTACCACTCCGTGAGTTTTGAACACAATTATTACAGTTTTCAGTCTGGATCAATTTGATTACATTTTATTTTGCTATTCTTCCTACAATAACCAGACTTCTCTGTTTTGTGTGCTGATTTTTTTTTTCCAGAACTCCAGCACTATGTCTTTTTCTTGTTTAAAAAAATAGTAATAAGCAGTTTTGTGGACTGTGCCCAGATTCTGCTTAAAACACAGAAAATTAAGCTCTTACAGCCTCTTGGTGTCTCCTTTTGAGTGCTTGGAGTTAGATGGGTTTCAAAGCCTTCTCCCCAACTCGCCTCCATTTTTCTTAGTATTCCTCAAGGATGAGGAAAGGAACCATTCAAAATGACAAGAACAAATTTAAAATTTCAGAATAACTGATGCTGGACCTGTAGATGCCTCTCATCCCAACTCTTATTCAAAGGAATATTAAATTTCACATTGGACTGGTTTCTCTGGACATAATCCAGTCAACTTCTTCCTATTTTAGTGGATGGAGGTTCCACATACCTTTGAGTGAAACCCTGGCAATTTGCCCTGACAGACACTCTCACTGCCATCTTTCTTCCAGGTCCACAAAGGAAAAGAGGCCATGGATCTTTGGATGGCCACAGAACAGCAAATATTTCTGTAGATCTCAGGATGTTCTCCCAGCATCAGAGCTATGAAGAGGCTGAAGAATTGTGCTACCAAGTGCTGCAATGCCACAGCACCTCAGGTGCTCTGTGCTTAGGGTTTGGGGAATGGCATGTGTCAGGGTGAGATTTAAAAAGTCTTAAATCCTTCCTTTTGCAGATCTTAGGCGCCTAATTCTGGGCTGCCAGTAGGAGAGGGAAAAATACATCCTGCCCCAGTAAATGCCCATTTCAAAGACTTTCCTCCAAAATTGAGGCAGGGTTTTTCCTGCCACAGAAAAAAATTTCCTTCTGAGAGAGCTGGAGATCACAGCACCATTTCCTGCTGTGCTGCCTCTCTCAGTTAAGGAGGATGCTCTATTCCTCTCAAGGAAATCAAATCCTCATCTCCAGCTTCCTAAAGGTATGAACTGATCACAGTACCTTTTTCATTCACCCGCACAGTCATTTACCCTCTTCCTCCCACCCCCTTACCCCACTGAAGCTGTACCACCATGCAGTGAAAACATAACATGTATGGCGCCATAGAAAAAAAAGACATTTAAGGGAGCTCAACTCACTGGGACACTCATGTTGGGCAAGAGGCACTTGGGTTCCCAATCCTACAGCCCTCAGGCACATTTTATGAGACAGTTTTCCCAAGCAATAGCTGCCAGAAGGAACTGCTATTTCTGTGCATATCTCATACACACTCACAAAGCACAGGTGGCAGCTCTGGCCACGGGCACATGGTGGATCTAGTCCAAAGACCACGGCCATTGACAGAGAGACTCCCCTCGGCAGTAACTGTCTTTGGACTGAGCTCAGAAAACAGAGGTCAATGTCATGTTAGCTCCTCTCCTTTCTCCAGGGTTGCTGCTCTGTTCCTCTGGGATGAGATATACTGGGGCCCCCCACTTTTGGGTTAAGGTATTGGGTTGGGTTTTTAGGGGGTATTTTTAACACAACAGCAAGTTTTGTGTCTTAGCTGACCGTGTAAGCGTGGGGCAAGGCAGCTCAGGTCTGTCGTCGTCATGTTGCCCAACATTTCACAGGGAGCGCCACAGACTGTGACCAAAGTCTTCCCTGGGGAAAATCCAGTTCCATGCAGGTAAATTGCTCCTCCATTCAAGCCACCTTGGAAAAAGACAGAAAATGAGATTTAAGAAGAGCCCGACAGCCAGCTGTCAACAAAGGTATTCTTTTGAATTCAGAATTTTTGCTCTCATGGAAAAAAAAACATTGGTCACTGCAGTTCCCTCACACTGCACCCCATGGAGGGTCTACAGCTAAGTCTTCATGACTTACCCCAGTTTCGATGCACAGCTGTCACCATCAGCTGAGAGGTGAACATCAGGTTGGAAGAAGCCCAGCCCTTGGGGACATCGAGGCCCAGCACACGGTACTCGCCAACAGGGAGCAGAGGAGCTGAGCACTGCAAAGTAGAGTGAGTGATGGTGACACCATTACAAGCAAAGTCTCCAACAAATACATAGATGGTGTCCGTCTCTGTGACCCGTGACACAGTCATTGTTAAAAGGAGACCAGTTGCAACAAGCAAAAGGAAAGCTGGGGTAAACTCCTTGTTGTAACTTATTCTTCCAAGGTAATAGGAGATGCCATCCACTTTTAGACTCAAAGTCCTAGTCCCATTACCTGGAGGCACTGAGCACTGTATAGCTACACAGGTGACACTGAGAACAAGGCAAGGGCGATGATCAATGAGAACGGAAGTCATTCTCTTTCCTTTCAGTGCTGAGCCTGTTAAGGTGAGCAGGCCTCCACCATTGGTACTGAAGTTTCGTGGGTAAAATTGATACACCTGAGGCAGGATGGTGAAAACGCTAGACGCCTTTCTGAAGCAAGCTTGCCCACTTTTCCTATTGGATATCGAAATGTTGTGCTCCCCTGGGGCAATGCAGTCTATCTGGCAATTGATGTTGGTCTCATTCCAGAAAGTGACCTTGCAGATAGCCTGGTTATTCACGTGTACCATGGGGCTGTCACTTGGCCATGCCAACCTCTGTCCTTTGATCATCACGTAGGTGAATGTTTCATTGGTCTCCCAGGTCACCACATCTACAAGAGGAGTCCAGTGTTCATGAAGGTGGAGTGTACAGTCTCCAAGGCAAACACTGCTGATCCCATTGACAGTCACTGTGACATTAAGAGCCCAAGATGCCTCAGTCAACCACTGGTAATGCAAAGGATGGGGCACTAGAAGGACAATACAACTAATGGCATCGTTATCAGAGTTCTGGATCTCACAGGAATAATTACCCTCCAGGCTGACCTGTACCAAATTCCTCCTGGATTTTAAAGCAATACCAGATACAGTGAGTAATATCCCACCACAGATCGATCCTCGTGATGGGAATATGGAGGTTATCTGTGGAGTTATTGTAAGGGCCTGCAGCCTTGCTGCCACACGAGCATACCCTAGCTGCCTCTGGATAACCCAGATGGGAAAAGTCCCAGGTTCCAGGTTGTTCAGTGGCAAAGAACACTGATACCACATTGCAGACTTGTTGTCACGTTGAAACTCAAGTTCACATTCACTGTCTCCAAGCTTAGCCACAGATCCAGTGATGTTTATGCCCTGGATGCTCAAGAGAAGGCTGCTATCTGTGATTTCCATTTCAACAATGGTAACCAGAGGAGTCAAAGCTCTTTGGTAACTAAAGGTGGCAGTACTTTTTGTAAAAAGAGTATGTTGAAGTGACTGACTGGTGATGATTACATTTACTCTGACTGAGACATCTTGTGAATCTTCATTAGACAAATTAGCAGCTGGTGGGGTCAGACACCAAACTGTCTCTTCTGTCAAGTGAGTAACCGTACAGGTTTGTCTGTTCATCGAAACAGAAATCAGGGCAGCGTTTTGGCTAAAGCCCACACCAGAGATTGTGAGCAGTGTTCCACCTAGGAGTAAAACAAAACAAAGGAGGAGGACATTATATGCAGGAAAGGAATAAATGACTGTTAGTGAACAATCACAAACCATGATAAAGCTGATAAGTATGACAGTCTTAGCCAGGTCAAATGGAAGATGAAATTAAGTCCTTTTTTGGAACAAGACACCTAGCAGTCATGTATAAGGACAATCCTATGTGGACAAGAGGCTAAGGTATCAGATAGCCAGGGACCATCATGGCAGCAAATAAGACAGTAGAAAGCCACCACAAACTGGAGGAAGCTGTTGTGAGAGGCCCCTTGAGAGCAAACAGAGACCAAACTCTTCAGGGAATGGGACTGTCTATGCAGGCAGGTGGGGAGATGATAGTGATGCTTTGGTCCTGCTGCATACAGGGAAGCAGGATGCAGTATAACTACTTTCAACCAAAAAGCCAGAAACACAGACCTTCCTTCAATCTTCGGTTCTGCCTGGCCACTTGGGCAGCATGCCAGATTTGCTATGCATTGATAGTTGCTTGACCTTGTGCAGTTCACTGACAAGAAGAGCTAATACCTTGATGAATATTTCCAGCTTTGAGCCTCCCTTACTTATGTGCTTCCAGTCTGCACCATTTAAGACAGGGAGAACAGGCCGAGGAAGAGAAGAGCAGGTCCCTCTCCACTGTCAAAGGCAACCTGACCAGGGCTCCCCATGCATGGGCTGGAGGAAGGTAGGCTGTCTGCTTTCCCCTGTGGTTGCCTGGACGTTTTTATTCCTTGGGCATCTACTTAAGACCACAGAAGATGACAGCAAATGGGTAAACAGACTCTTGGTGTCAACTGGCAGGGTCATTCATAGGGAAATGCAATTCAGGAAGTGTTAGACACAAAGTTATGACCTCCAGTTGAGTCTGTCTAGTGTTGGAAGCTGGAAGACTGTTGTAGAGAAGAATCATCATACACTGTTCCACTCATATAATCTTCCTAAATCATCCTATATTTGAGTTACTCTGGGAAATAGGCTATCTTCAGTCTGATCCAACACAGTTCTACATGGTGGTGGAGTCTTCCTCTCCACATTGACTTGGACACATCTCTCTCCAAGGAGAAGCAGCCTTGGGAGGCTCTGCTATCACCCATGTCACTGAGAGTAGGTGCTAATTATCTGGAATAAGCATGAATCCTGATATCTTGATTCATAGAACGTTGTACAGCAGCAGCAGCACTGCCTCCTCGGGTGCTGAAAATAAGCAGCACTGAAGAAGGAGCAGTCTGAATTTTAGGATGTGATAAAGACAAAGATGCAAACCCACCAGCATTCAGAGCCTAATCTCATGCTTCCAAGACCAGAGCTGCCTCCCTTAAAACCAGCTGAAGCCTCTCTCCATCTTCCTTTATCTGCAGTACTGGCACTCCCAGTGCCATGCCTTGCTTCACTCTCTTTATTCATTAAGCCCATGCCCTTCCTTTTCCCATGATCTGGCTGAAAAATAAATTGGTTTATAATGGGGTTCCTTTTCAGTGAGCTCAAATCCTTAATCCAGATGGCCACAGAAGTGTTAGAGATAAAAAAAAGATTAAAGATAATGCAGGGGAAGGACTGGTGCTTTTTGCAGCAATGAGATTTTAAGTCAGTCTGAGCCATTCACAAAACATCAGCCAAAGGGTTAATCGGTTCTTATTTAAATTTCAGTTTACTCTTAAATATGAAAAGAAGGGTGTCATAATAATTATTAATTTTTGGTATAGCTTAATTGTCAAAACCGATAGCCTTTGCTCTCCAAGCTCTATCCATGCTCTCATCTTTCAAGGCTTAAGAACGTCACAAACTGTTGAACTAATCACGTACTGCAAAGCCTCAGAGTTTTTGTATCTTTAAATTTGGTGTGAGCCTGCGACAGCAATCTGTGGAGGAAGTGAAGCTGCATCACAAGAATTTCTCTCTTCTACAAAAGTTTCTAAGGGCTCATGTAAAATTCACTACAGGGGTTCAACTCTCCCCCACTCCCAGTCAAATGACAAAATAAATCAACCACCCCAAATCTGCCTTTTAAAGTTTAAAGTAAAGCTTTTCTTTTTAATTCGGTGATGTTTAGCTCTGAAACATGCTTAAATTACTTCCAATGTTTAAAAGCTTGGAATGGGACTAATAAATATTTCACTTTTGATTAAAATTAACATTGAAAAAAATTTGACTTTTCAACTTAACAAAAATGAATACCTCTTTTGGGATCACTTGAAATTGTTTGCTTCAAACCACAATTGTACTTTGCTTTCCACCTAACCTTCAGATAGAAAGCCTTGAAAGATGGAGGCGTAATGACTGAAAGAAACAGCACAGATGAGTCAGGTGTGGGCGTGCTTTGTTTTCCCAATGGGAACATTCAAGGATATGTGAGCAAATACTTGGGGAAATCAAATTCAAAGCACAGGGACCCTTGAGCCAGCCAACCAGATTGAGGGATGCTCGCTACAATCCCACATTTCCAGACTGCTGCTGTCTACCAGTTGATGTCTGCATAATAAAGGGTCACAGATTTAAAACACTCTCATTTAAACTGATGTGAAACGGGATGCCCTTTCCATTCCTGCAGGAAAACTGTGCCCTTGATCCCTTTAACCTCCATAAGTGGCTGCAGATGTACTGACGCTGTTTACCCAGAAAGGAGCCACAACACGGCTCTATGCTGAAGATCTCCGAGAGGTACTGGATTAATGGCTCAACCCTGAAAAACACAAGTAACATAGAAAGGGATTTTGGGGGGTTGAGTTTTTTTATATCCTTCTCTCCTGCTGAAGTGCTATTCTTTCTTAGAACTCCTCCTAGGTTGGAAGGCCAGACACCCACCTGGCATATCCCCTTTGTTCAATGCCAAAGAGACAAGACCACCCCCCACCCCAAATTTTTCCATGTGATTTGAGCTACATCTATTAGGAACACTATCTTACCAAGTGGCAACCTGTGGGCCAAATTTAGTCCCTGAAGTGCAACTGAATTACCCATCAAAAGAAGAAAAAATGAGGGCTTTTTTTGCCAAACAGATCCCACTGTAGCTATGCCCACAGACAGGAGATGCAAGTGCCTTCCCTCCTTGCATCCTGCCACCAAACAGTGAAGGTAACTGCAGCAAGAGGAGACCAAGACACAACCTCTTGAAGTTCACTCAGATATGGGTATATCTCTGCTTCTATCTCACCTACATGCTCATCATCATTTTCCTCCTCATCACTCTCCTTTCAAAAACATCCCCTGTCCTAAAAAGACATGTTAGAGAAGTAGACCTTCCAAAACCTGCAATCCAGCCCACCAGAGATGAGAGCTGTCTCCTGGGATGACCCATTTCCCTCCTCTCTCTGTCCCCAGAGACAAAGTGATGGTGCTGCTAACAGACTCCAGTATTAGATGAGATGAATCTCTGCATGTCATCTCACCAACCATAGGCTTTCTCCTTCTGTCATTCATTAACGAAACAAGTAGCTTCAGATGGTTTGCAAGAAATAAAAGCAGCTCCTTTCTCCTCAATAACATTACTTCAAGATCATTCCTAATAGCTGCCATGGATGAGGAGCAAAACTGTGTTGCTTGTGAAAGCATTGTTGACCTGAAAGTGGGATGCAGTTTTCCCCCACATTTTAATTCATTTATACCACGTTTATCTAGGCATGAACTTGAAGTGTCACCTTAAAAGATGGAAATAGCATCACTTAAAAATTCTCCAAACAAAGCAATTTTTTATTTCTCAAACTAGCTTTTGTTTTTCTTATGAAAAGTGATTCTTTTCTTGTGCTGTTTTCCTACAGCAGGATTTATCTGCATTTGACCTGAATCTGTGAATACCTTTGATAGCCTGAATATGCATTTTTCATCAAATCAACTGTTTTTTCTGAAATGTTTCTCTTCTGCCTCCTACTGATCCAAGGGGAGTTAATTGACTAGCATTAGCAGTTTGCTGACTTGGGTTCCACAGATCAATAAATGCCTTGATAACTATTCATAATTTTATATCACACAGCAGATTTCACCATTAGGTACAGAATTTGTGAAAACTCTTACCTTTCTTTTCAGATTAAGCCTAAAATACCAAACAGGATGGAGAATTAAATTTATATCTTAAGGAAAGCATGCACATTCACACACCTGTTTGAAGTGATAGCAATGCCATTGATGATGACAGAAACATTGTACCATCCCGCAGACAAGGCTGGAAGCATCACATTAACACCATGGTCCGTCTGCGCCTGGATCTGTGCCCATGAAACCCCAATTTGGACGTTGATATCTGACCCTCGGTAGCTGGCAAACTGGGATATTCCAATCTGAAGCTCCTGACCCCCTGCAGAGAGGAGAATGGATGAAACTTTTTCAGAGTTTTCTGGCAACAGTTATTTTAACACATGTAACTACTGCCCAAGGAAGAGCATAGAGTCTCATCATAGAATAGAATAGAATGCTTTGGGTTGGAAGTGACCTTAAAGATCATCTAGTTCCAACTCTTCCGCCATGGACTGGGACACCTTCCACTAGATCAGGTTGCTCAAAGCTTCATCCAACCCGGCCTTGAACACTTCCAGGGATGGGGCAGCCACAACTTCTCTGGGAAACCTGTTCCAGTGCCTCACCACCCTCACAGGGAAGAACTTCTGCCTTAGATCTCATCTAAATCTATCCTCTTTCAGTTTAAAGCTATTGTCCCTTGTCTTATCAATACATGCCCTTGTAAAAAGTCCTTCTCCAGCTTTCTTGTACCTTTAGGTACTGGAAGGCTGCTAGAAGGTCTCCCTGGAGCCTTCTCCAGCCTGAACGACCCCAACTCTCTCAGCCTGTGTTCACAGCAGAGGTGCTCCAGTCTTCAGATCATCTTTGTGGCCCTCCTCTGGATCCACTCCAAAAGCTCCATGTCCTTCTTATATTGGGGGCCCCAGAGCTGAACGCAGCACCACAGGGGAAGTCTCATGAGAGCAGAGTAGAGGGGCAGAATCCCCTCCCTCGACCTGCTGGCCACGCTGCTTTGGATGCAGCCCAGGATACAGCTGGCTTTCTGGGCTGCAAGTGCATGTTGCCAGCTCATGTTTAGCTTCTCATCAACTAACACTCCCAAGTCGTTTTCCTCTGGGCTGCTCTCAATCCATTCTCTGCCCAAACTGTACTTGTGCTTGGGATTGCCCCAACTCATGTGCAGGACCTTGCACTTGGCCTTGTTGAGCTTCATGAGGTTCACATAGGCCCACCTCTCAAGCCTGTCATGGTCCCTCTGGATGGCATCCCTTCCCTCCAGTGTTTCGACCCCACCACACAGCTTGGTGTCATCAACAAACTTGCTGAGGGTGCACTCAATCCCACTGTCCATGTCACCAAAGACATTAAACAGTGCCAAACCCAATACTGACCCCTGAAGAACGTCACTCATCACTGGTCTCCACTTGGACATCAAGCCATTAACTGTAACTCTGAGTGCAATCATCTCACCATGACAGAGCAGGTCCAGTCATGTCCATCAGCCAAAACAAAAAATTGAAGACCACAATGGTTCTGTATCCTACTCGTCTCTTGGCCTTCCTCATAAGGTCATCAGCCACTAGGGTTATATTGAGACAGTAGCATTGTGAACTTGGCTACGATCATCCGCTGGTACACAGTCAGGATTTGATCCATATCACCTTACAGTAAATGTCTAACCTATAAATATCTACAGTTGATAAAAGCCAAATCCAGTCTTTCTAAAGCTCACATAAACTGGAGTTCAGGAGTTGTGGGATTTTTCCTAAATCCCTGACAATCATCCAGACCACACTTTTCAGCGCTATGGAGCTAACTTTAACAGAAGCTTCTCAGAGATAAAAGATGATTTCCTTAGTTACCTAAAGTCGGATGCTCATGCATGCTCCAAAGTACCTTGTTTTCAGGAAACATGGCTCTGTTTCCCATTTAAGCTCTGTTGTGAGCCAGATTATATTCTGATGATAGAGGGTACTTTACTTCTGGATGCTGTAGTAATAGAAAATGACAAGGGCAGTGGAGAAGGGTATTTCATAACCTGATTTCCTCCTGAAATAGTTTTAAAATTTAGGGTGGTATGCGTCACTCCAAATAAAAGCATTTTCACTGAGATAGCTATATCTGTAGTTAATGAAGAGATACAGAGCCTTTATGGTATGATTCATCCTATTGTAAGGAAGACATCCATAAGAGCTGTGGTGAATCCCACCACTGAACTACCTACTTCTCTTTATTGACTATGCAAGACATCTAAGCAACAAGGACAGCCTTGTTTAGGAGATGAATCTCGTTCTCCCATCACCTCTGAAGGGTGTGGGTTCAACTGCACAGCAACAGGAATGTAGACCTCCTCTCATCCTGTTCAAGTCCAACTCTCTGCTGTTGTAGACCACTATGTTACATAAATCCCTTTCCTAAATTCATCAAGCAAAATGTGTGAACATCCCTTTACCACCTCACTGAGCCAGCCAGTGAGAAACACTTGTCTACCCAGAGTTTCTCCATAACAGCTGGTGAAGATTAGCTGTGCTAGAGCAGCTTCATTTTTGCCCATTCCTCCTCTTCATTGAGCACACAGCACTTATCCCAGCCACACGGGGAGGTGGTCTGGAGCAGCTCGTCTACCTTACTCTCTCACCTTGTCTTAATCAAAATTAACTTCTATAGGTTGATGCATCCTAACTAGAGATTCAGATCTGAGTAGCAATTTTGTCTCCCAAACAAAGGCCAGGGTCACTTGGCTTTAGCATCGTCCTCAAAGCAGACACAGTCACTGGTACAACTCAGCTCCGCAGCCTCAGCTTTGAAGAAGTCTCTGCCTTCTGTGAAGCAGGAGAGTTTCTACTAACCTCTCCTCACCTACCAGCTCCTCTAAGTAGGTCTTGAAGCCAGTACTTTTCCAATTCTGCATGCACAGAGTCAAATAAAGTTTGAAAGCCTGCGAAGTTGAATACATTAATAGCGTGAACTCTTTGGACTCTTGGTCAATTGTCAGCTTAATCCTAGATGCCTGGAAGGCATCAGTGTAATTTATTTATTCTTTTTATTATATAGGAGGAAAATTATATTAAAAGACGAAGTCGTGGAGGTTCTGAATAGAAGATTGAACTCGGCCACACCACCATTCACAAGACGCTGTAACATTAAGGAATTCCTTGCACCTGGGCTGCCTGCGGCTAGAAAAATCTCCCCTTGGTGCTATCGTATCTGAATAATATTCAGATGATAAAGGACGTTTTCTCTTATTTATGTATTCTGGAGTAATAGAAAATAACAAGGGCATTTGGGGAAAGAAATAGAAACACTGAGCACACAGTGCATCTTATCACTGGCACAGTCACCTCGCTCCTTGCATCCCCACCGAGTCCAGTCAAACTGCTGAGCTGGGGGGAGGTTTATTACGGTGTGCACTGGAAAGGTTGTAAAAAGAAAAAAAAAAAAGATCATTGCACACTTGGAGGAATAGGGATGGGTTTTGTAAGAAAGCAGGAATATTTCTGTCTTCCTGTCTTCCTTGTTCTTTCTCAAATACTAGAATTTGGTACAACACAGAAGTATAGTAAACCTTCTTCCTAAAAGACTTGTCTGTCTGTAAGTGGCCATCATTCACTATTAATGTTTTCTATTCTCAATGCCCAGTCAAACCCTTGTGGGGAAAAAAAAAGCAGGAAAATGAGCGAAAAAAAACCCAATCCCACAGGAATGCTAAATGCTCCATCAGAACTAGTTGGGATTTTGCTTCCACAAAGTCCATGAAGTCTATGCTCACACTCTAAAGTAACAGATAAGGTCAAACTGGAAGAAACAGTTTGGCTTGGAAATAAGAACTAGAGAGACAAGAGTTGCCTCTCTTCTGCTTTCAGAAACCCAAAACACCCATCACGCACTTTATGATCAACCCTCTAGGATTCTGGAGGACACTCTCTAGAGCTCTTTTCTCTTGTCATGGCTGAATCTGTTACCAAGAACAAATAAACCAGATAATTTCAGAGCAGAGTTAGAGAAACATGACACCAAAGGAGCACTATACCACAACCAGCATCCTGTTGATATCATCCACACTGGCTTAAGACAAGCAACTCATTATCTCATGTGTGCTAGAGTAAAACTTAAAACAATCAGGACTGATCAAGACTAACAGGAAACGTGGGGGCTACCAGTTAAAAGAAATAAACACACAACAAAACCCAGTGTCAGATCATCAAACTCCATAGACCCCACCATCATCAGCAGTAAGAACACTTCTACAGCTGATGCCCAATACATGTCTGCATCCTTTTCACCTGCTATGCCACTTCTGTTTCTGCTCAGTGATACAACAGCAGGGTTTAAGGAAGGATCATACTGGAACAAGTTGGTTAGTGTTGTTGATTGGTACCCGGAAATTAGTGTCACATGGACATCAGCTTCTTCTGTCCCCTAGAAACAGGAATTAAAATAATGTCAGGGATAAGAATGCACTAATGAAAAAATAATTCCCTATATTCCTGCATCTCCCATATCTAACACGACAGGCACACGGGCACTGATGAAATTTGTACATATGGACTCTACTTCAACACGTACAGCTACATTAGCACACGGGCACTGACGAAATTTGTACATATGATGGACTCTACTTCAACACGTACAGCTACATTGTCTTTAAAGGGACATCTATGGAGAGTTATAAACCTTAAAACAATTCCAGACTTTGCAGATTTTTATTTGCTATATTCATACTAGTAAATTAAACAGTGGCGAGTTACAGGCATAGACAGTTATCCCTACGCTTAAACTGTTAGCATTGCCCTGGGTATACTTTTGCCATGCAGTAAAGAGCACTGCAGCTACCAAACCCTAGGTGTGTTTTTGCACAACACACAGATAATGTCCAGAAGAGGTCTGAACGCGAAGTAGAAGATCTGGAGCTAAAGAAGGTTCAACAATGTGAGCAAGAGCAATTGTCCAAGGCATATTTAATCTGCTAGTAGACAACTCAAAGTGGAGACATGCAATTTTGCTGGAGTTTAAAGCCCCAGGTTTGTTTATGTGAGGCTTAGCTAATAATGATGTAATCTGAATTTTTTGCTGTTTCACTGGTTTTCATGAATCACCTATCTGTCTATTGTTAATTAAGCTGGTCTAAGCTGTAGGTGGAGTCTGTGTTAAATTATCCCGCATTCAAGACTTGGCTGACTCTTTGCCCTTCCCTCAGTGTAGCTAGGGACAGGAAAACATAGAAAGGCCTATAGGCTGTTGACTGTTCCCCAAAAAAATGTGGTTTCTTACCCGAGAGGGAACTTTACATTCAATTCTTGTTGAATTTCGGTCATCCTCCAAAATTGGGCAAGGCTGAGATCCAAACAACACCAAGTTCACCCCGTCCAGATTGTTTCCCCTAAGAACCACTCTCAGTCCTCCTACAAAACCAATTATTGTTACGTTCAAGATGAGGAATGATATTTTTTATATGCAAAGAATTCTTTATTAATAGGTGACTACAAGAAGGAGTACTGTCTCTCAGCTGACCTGATGATGATCTATTTCCACCTTGCTGTGCCTAGTAGCATCCTGCCTTTCACTAGAGATCCTTCTTGTTTACTATTTGAATTCTTATCCATGGCACAGGAGAGGACTGGGTTTGTTTCTTGGTTTATTTTTTAATGACATGCTTATTTTAGCCAGCAAGGTCTGGCCTGTGATCTCAACCTTAGAAAGATCCCCAGCCCAAGACTGAAATAAGGAAGGAAGGAAGAAGCACTAAGAATGGAAAATGAGCTTAACACAGCAGGTGCTTTCACAGTTCAAATAGCTGCCAAGCACCCTGCTGTCAAAAAAGCCTGTAGCATGTGTCTAGGAAACTTAGGGTAGAAAGGAGACTTGGCAGGGCTTGAGACTTAGCAGAGTTGTGAGGAAAGTCATGGAGGGCTTAATTCTGCAAAGCACTGAGTTTTCCTTTGTGCCAGCCAGAGCTGAGCCTCTTCAAGCACATGCAGGATCATATCCAACACAAGTCAGACTTGCACTTGATCTTTCTGCAGCACACAATTCCAATGCAAATAGTCAAGGGGACCCACTGCTTTTTCATGTAACTAGAAGATTTGGTGATGTTTCAAAGAGAAACAGAAAACAGAACAGGAATGGACATTAATGACAATTCTAACCTGGATTTTGTTCTTTGATGCAGTTCAGAAACAAATTTTTTTAAAAAAGAAAGAAATTTTGCTTGAAACTTACAGCTGTTTGGTCTAGTTATCAGTACTGAGGAGTTTTAGGACTATGGCTGGACAGACTGATGGCTCAGACAGGAACTTTATTAACACAGTGTGTATGTGTTAGTATGGCTATAATACAAACCAAATGAGCTTTTACAATGCTTTTCATGTGTGATGTAAGTAAACTTATATGGTAAAGCCATTATATATTGATGGTAGAGTCACTTGTACCTTTTCCTCAAAGCCCCATTTCCTGCTAATTCTTTAAAACACCAGTGAAGTCTACAAGTCTAATTTTCTAAGTTTTTTTTCTGACTGGAAACAAAACCAAACAACAGTAATAAGGTATGTTAACAGCAAGCTCCTTTTATGCACCAGAGCACGGTAGTATCTTCAGAAAGGCATCCCATGCTTACAGAGTTAGGTCACAGGGAAATCCCAGCACAGCACCACCGAGACCAGTGATATTTGGACAAGAGGGACCTGATGCAGCAAAGTGCATGATGCTTCCTTGGCTTCCTCTCCTGTAACGTTAAGTTTGCAGAGACAGAAACAGCAAGAACTCAAAACTGAAGCCACTTGGCTAATGAGATCGTTGTCAGATAAGGAGCCTCAGATTTAGAGTTCAAAATCCACGTGTGTTGTAAAGGCTGATGCTCTTAAGTTTTGATATCTACACTTATATCCATACACAATGAAATACTGCATATGTGCACTTTACGATGAGATTGAAGAGAGGTATTTTAAATGGAAGAAATTAAAAACACAGATGGAAGCTGTAATTCTTTCCAATTATAAATGTTCAAGGCATATGTAATGTAAGATAGCATTATACTTGCTTTCTTTTTAATGGGTGACAGATCACTGTAATTGGGAGAAGAACTGGATTGTCAGTGAAGGAAATGAGAAACAAGTCCCAGGCACTAAAACTTGTCACTGCTGTTTTTTTCCTTTGTCTTTTTTTCTTTTTTTAATAAATTAAAGCAGTGAGTATCAACCTTATGTACCCTTATATGACTCTCCCACTGGAAGGGAAGATTTAAAAAAAGAAAGAAAAAGGTTAGACTATCTTTCTTACTATACACTCCAACAAAACAAAGAAAAGAGGTGGCCATAACTTCTTGCTTTCCAGCTTAGGAACCCTGCATTCTCTGAAGACCATCCCACTGCTCATCCACAGAGGTTCACAGACCTCAGTCCCTTCCTCTGCTTGCTCCAAGGTTGCTGACCATGACAACCAATTCTCCAAGCCACATGGCTAAGCTGGCTTCATGCTGCACCTAGGCCAGTACTCTTGCTCTCGGTGATGTTTGTTAGCATGAACTCAAAGCACCTCAGTAATGAAACTAGGAGGTTTCCAGACAAAATATCGATGACTTTTACTGTCAGAGCTGATCTGGGTAATGTTGTTTCTAGATGCATTCCTAGCTGCTTACTAACAAGCCATATGCTGAGACCATTGGTCCTAACTGCACAACCCAGGTGTGTAGAGTATTCTGCACATTTCTCATTGGTTTGGGGAGGCTCTTCTCTCTCCTAAAAAAGGGTAGCTCTTTACAGCCTTTGGTTTGGCTTCGCTACAGTTGGCTAGGCACCTTGCTAGGACTTCCAGATGAAGTCCTCTCATCTATGTCATGTACAGGGCAGGTAAGAGAGTCATGATAGTCCTCTGGCCCCAGAGTCCTGTGGAAAATCTTCCAAGCTCTTGTCTTCAGGGAGAGACTAGATCACCCCTTATTTCCTCTTCTGATTCAAGAAGAAAAGGTGTTATGGGAATGGAAGTTTAACTTGAGCTTCTCTAGGTTTCTCAGTTTTGTATCTAAACACAGATGAGTTTTCCATTTTATCCCTCAGAATATGAATTCATTTCAACTGAACTGAGATGAAGCAAAGTTTAGCCATTTCACAATTAGGCCACATGAATCCAAATACTACAAAGCTATGTGTCAAATAGGTGTGGAAAGATGAGTCATAAAACATTAATAGCCTTCTAGGTTGTTGGAATAAATATATCTGCACTTGAACTTACAATTCTCAAGCAAAACTAGTCATGAAACTGCCTCCATGAAGAACCAAGCAAAGCCTATCGCTCAAGAAACTTGCCCCAGTGGTTTGGGGTACACACAGTATGTCCACCCATATTGTGTCTTTTTGATAGTCAAAGTACAGAAGAACTGAAACACATCATGAAGAGCAAAAAGCAGAAAACAGATATACCGTTAGAGCTGGTCTGGCATTCAGACCTACCGATCTCTGAAGCTGTAGAAGGTTCAATAGCTACCAGCTTTGGGTCAACTCTTAGGAAGATGCCTTCTCCTGTGCTGTCATTGAGTGCGAAGCCATAAGGTCTCACCAGTAGTGTCACCTGGTAGACTCCGACGGGCAGCCTCTCCATCTGGCAAACCACTTTAGTTTGATTCAACGTCATGATGTGGCAGGTCTTGTTGTTCACCTTTACCTGCAGGGCTGGTATCTCCTCAGTGAAGCCAGCTCCACTGATAACTACTGTGGCCTGAGATCCATCATCTGAAGGAATATAATCAAGACAACGACTCATGAATTTTGGTGTAGCAATGCCAAGGATTTACTTTCAACAAACAGTTAAAAGTTTTTATCATTTTCATCAGGACTTCATAAAAAGCACATCGATGATCTCTCATTGTCCCTCAATGTCTATTCCTGCCTGTTCCTATTCAACTGTTACTTTTTTCTTAAATTACTATTAAGGATAACTTGAGCCAAAAGCCACTTTCCACTTTAAGCACCAAACTTATCATTATTTATCTCTCCTTTATGCCTCTATTATCTTCTTGTTGATGTAAAAACATGTCTGTACTATGTATTTTAAGACTGGAACTGATTAGAATTGTCCCACTAGAAAGTGCAGTTTCCATAAAATCAGAAATTTCCAAAATAATACATACATGCACACATCAGCAACTGGCAGATCTTTTTCACTGAACAGAATTTTGCCGTTTTGCTCAGACACAACGCCCCGTTACCTGATGAATACTCCACATCACTGACCAAAGGTGTCAATTCCTGGCTCAACTGGAAAGAGCATGAACCAGAACAGTTTGCAGGGACATCATTCACCACCACCACCACCTGGAGACAGAGAAGAAGGTTACTCTAAAGCTGGGAAGGGAAGAGCTGTTTTCTAGAAATGCATCTACCTAGCAGACCTGCACAGAGATGCCGGTAGCCACACTAAGCTACCAACAACGCGCTGGCTGTGCCAGTGCAGAGCACAGTCAGACAGCTGTTTATCCTGCTGCAGTCTCATTATAACTTTAATTGCAAAGCTTGCTAGGACTCAATTTTAGGCGAAGCAGAGAACAGCTTTGGAAGCTGTATCACTAGCTTTTCTTGGTGTCTGCAGGATCCTACCCTCCCATCCAGCTGGGACCTATAGCTCCTCCCAACTCCTGTTCTTCTAGTCATCCATTGAAGACCCCGCTTGCCATATACCCTCATTCTTCCCACCCTGACATGTTATTATTATATTTAAAGCACCCTGTAAGACTAATTAGAATCAATCTCAGAATGTGTCTTTTCAGCATGCAGCCCTCAATTATTTTTTTTTTCCTCCTTGTTGTTCATGCTGAAACAAGAAAGCTGGGCTGTGACCTTGATATTTAGCACGAGACATCAAAAGATATCTCTTCTGAGATCTTGATATCTCAGAAGAGTCAACTGGCAAAGCACAAGGCATAGGAGAAGCCTCTTCATCTCTCTTTCAGGTATCAAGGGTGTGCCTGGAGGGTACACCAACGCCTGCAAAAAGCAAAAGCAGACTGTCTCCAAGAAACTCAAAAAGCACAGAGTTGTGAAGTACTCTGCTTGAAGAGTGACGCAATAATTAGAGGGACATTTTTACACTTGCTGCTAGCAGCAAACCGAATACAGCTTTAAAACCAAAGATTGCTGCTGCTGTTCTTGTTTCATTTGGCCTACTTGAGGGTATGTCTGCACCACAGATGGCAGAGATATGGTAGATAGTTGAGCACTTGAAGCAGGGCAGTCCTCATGTCTGGGGAACAGGCTCACTGTAAAAAAGCAGGATGACCTAACCTCAAGTGCTGCACAGCTGGGTTTCAAGCACATCCAGGATCATCCTGTTATCACTACAGTACTCAGGAGTTTTTGCTGGAAGAGCAACGTACACTGCTCTGCAACATCTAAGAGCAGAATTTGTAAACATTCGTCCATCCAGCAGACTCATTCAGCCAGGAAGCCTTCCTTGCTGCCTTTTCACAGATGAAGAATTGAGATCCACAGAGGCTGAGAGACTTGCCTCATTCACAGATTAGTACCGCAGCCACCATCTCATTTACTCTGCTTATCAGTGTAACAGCTGGAACACTGCAGATGAATCGTGTAATTCCCAAGTTTGGCAGCCAGCACCATGGGACCCAGCACAGGCTGGAATCCAGAGATGACAACAGCTGTTGGCCACAGTCTCAAAAGAAATAAATTGTCTTCTGTCACTCATGATGACCATTCTCACCATCTGCAATAGCTCTTGGAGCAAAGTCCTGCTCAACAAACCAGGGAGCAGAATCTGATCAATTTATGGCAAAGCACAGAACAGCACATTTCTGAAAGTATTTAGTGGCAGAAGTAGGTACCTGAACACCTTGTGAGATTTCTGGGTCTACATGACCAAAGTGCATCAATAGGAAGCGCGACACCATATCTCACCTGAGTTTTGTTATTGAAAGTAGCAAGCATGTCCCCAAATATTGGCTCAATAAACACACCTCCATCATAAACCACACGGCTAGAAACAGTTGGCTTCAAACCCACAAGTTTTTCAGCAGAGACCTGGCAAAGAATAAAGAGTTTAAGTTTCTTGTCCTTTTCCTTCCTGTGATCTTAAATTAAAACTATTCCCCCAGAGTTCATACAGAGTCTTTATAAGGCAGCAAATAACTCCTGGAAGTCTCTTCTCAAGCTTCTTCCTTGACTCCTGTCTCCAGGTCTAAATCTTCATTACCCAAAACTTCACAACACCTCCCTGTTTCCATCCTTACCTTGCAGGCAAGAAACTGAGGCAAAGAGATTCAGGAGCCAGGTTTGCAAATAAATTTCTAATACTCAGTAATATCATTTGGAATTAAGCATGGAAAGAGCTTTGAACATCTGCTTCTTAAAGACATAACTTTGTGTGAAACAGAAGCCTGTGCTACAGCTGAAGATGCAGCTCAACCTTTTTTCACCATTCAGGCCAATGTCTTGAGCATGAGAACTAGTTGCTTTGAAGATAATTTTACACTTTTAGAAGCTGGATATACAAATAAATATTTTTTCTTTTGGGGGAAGGAAGCAGTCTGAGTCCTTATTCAAAAAAGAGCCTTCTACTTGAAGCAAAACTTAAACAACAGCTCTTGGGATGGGAGAGTGTGAACTGAACCTTCATCTGAGACTTATGAGAACCAGATATGAAGCCATACAGAATAGTTCTCAGGAAAAGACCTTCTTGGCCCATAAATGATGCCACAAGCCTATAATGAGGTTCAGTTACTGTACTGAAATATTAACATTATAGTAACTTTCACTTCAGTGTAACAGTCCCTGTTCTGCAGAACTGTAACAAGGCACAGAAATTACATTCTCGCCTCCTCATTTTGAAGCACAGACTCTGAGGATGTAATTTCTCCTCCTGTAACTACAATTTCTTTTTAAGTCATCTAATCTGGAATTTGCTTAAGCTGCTATTCCTGACAGGAAGACATTTATCTTAAGGTCCCACAGGCGTCTGCATAAAAACAAATGCTGGGAAAATGAATCACCAAAGCCAAAGACATTGAATGGGGCTCAAAGTGGGTGCTAGTAAAAGAAACTACTGTACATTGATAACATTGGGCAAGTCCCCAGTTTTTGTTTTCCATGTCAGCGTCCAGATGCTTTCATAGCAAGAGTTTGAGTCTTTGGTCACAATGAAGTCACTGCTGTTGAAGTATGGGGCTGTAGAGTTATCTACATTGTCTTGTAAAAGCTTGCGGAGGCGGTGGGAGGAGATGTGCACTGAAACATCTGCAAAAGACATTAGAAAAAAAAAATATTCTCATTCCTAGGAGAGCACATCTACCTGCTCCTAGGAAAGAAAGATGTCTCATTATTAGTGTGAGGCTGTTGCAGTTCAAACATCTGTTAACTGCCAAAAAGCAGCAAAGGGAAATTTACTGGGTCCCAAATCCCAAAAGATCTGCACCATTTAATAGCTTAGAAAATCTAGAAACATCTCTCCAGTTGGGGCCACCAGAAGTTTTTTCTAAGTAATACTTTTCATTATACGCAACATACATTTTTGGGAGACATGAAATTTCAGTGTGCAAGTCCTGTTCCTTCAAAATAGAAGTTTAGAAACTTCCTAGATGAGAGGGATATGGAGAGAGTCAGGTTCTCAAGAACATTGTGTAGAGTTCAAGCCCAAATAAGTACAAATGTGTTCTTTCTTTTGACATAAATACCCATAGCCATTCAAAGCTGTAGATACAATAAATCTCTCTAATTCTTACAAAAGAGGAAAGCACAAGACCTGAGAACAGGGTAAGAGGAATAAAGTACATTTTTAAAAGATGATATTCAAAGCAGGGCGCTATTGAGAGAGCCTTCAGCTACTGTAAGATAATCTTAAGTGATATCATGGAGAAAATAGTTATTTCACAAATATTTTAAGGCTGAATTTTCCTATTTTATTATTTGATTTTGTAACTGAGTCACCAGTTTCTCAGTGAAGAATTTAATCATTGGCCTTGCTCAGATTAACCTGTTCACTTTCTTTCTAAGCCTCTTTATTTAAACCAAACACAAGAAAATCTAGCTCATAAAAGGTGACTAATTCAAGTCAAGAAATTCAATGCACAAAAGCTTTTGCGATATCTGTAAACCAATAACCAGAAGCACATATGCTGGAAAAACATCAGCATAATGAAAACATGGTATGTAACATCTCAATTCAGGATCTGACCCAAAGTTCTTTAACATTAAGGAAAGCACTTCATAGTGGCTGTACGCATTTTGGAACAACCCCACACCCAACATCAAGAAATACTGCCCTGCCTATAATCCCTAACTCACATCTTGAAGGACATCAAATGCAAAGATCTGGCAACTATCACAATGGGTTTAACCTGCCAGCCTGTACCCCGAGCATTTCCAAGGTTCAACAATGTCTCTGCTTCACTTGGCTTCCCACAAAGGAAATCCGGGACCTGTACTTGCATCTCGTCTTACCTGATATGACTGTGTTGGCCAAGTGGATGCAGAAAGTCCCTCCAAGAGGTGGAGATGACTCTTGCAGTCTCTGAATGGTGAGGCTAACTCTCACATCCTCCGTGGAGACATACAGGTGGCCATATTCCTTAGAGTCCTCCCCAAGCAGAGCACCTCTGTGTGACAGAGAGGGTTTACATGAAGGCATTCGTGGTCAAGACCCCCACTCATGACACCTCCATGTCACCAGCATCAGAGGGACACCTATGGGAACAACACTCAAAGGACCTAAGGAGAACATATTGAGAGCTCAAATGGAATCGAATACTCCCAACTTATACCTACATGATATAGGCAATGCACACAGCTCTTTTAATTATGATAGAAGAAATAGTTCGTACAACACCAAGCACAAGCAAGTCCTGTCCCTGTACTGGTGTTTTCAAAGGACCAATTCAATGCAGCCTGGATAGCAGCTACAACATCAAAGCAAAAAGCTTTCCTACTTCCTCGGGTCTATCAAAATCTTAACTCCTCTAAATTACAGAGATATTTTGCATTAAAGTTCACCCAAAGCAGTATTTCTAAAACTTGAAACGTTTTCTCCCTTGCCTCTAAAATTCCTCGTCAAAGGAAAAAGAGACTCTCTGTGGTGCAATGATGCCACCATGTGGTTAATTGTCTGGGTAACAGCTGAAGATAGCTCAGCCGTGGCTTCTGCTGAGCAAATTTCAAGAATGTGAAACCAAAAGGACCACCGAGCCTTCTAGCCTGACGTCCAGGTTTCAATTACTATCCCTGCCTCAACCACAACAAGCTATGTTAGAACACATCACAGCATGTGCTCAGTTAAGAGAAAGAGACAGGTTTGGTTTGAAGATATCCAAAGACAGTGATCAGCCCACTCATTTTTAAAGCATGTGCTGATTTTTGTTCTCAGTATTCCTGACTTTAGCATCACACACTGGTTTCTCTTACGTCTTCCTCTGTGAGATGGCGAAGTCCATCAGTGCCAAGTACTCTTTTTTTTCCCCCCTTTTTCCCCCCCCTAGTGAGAGGTACTGTGATCAATTAATCTCTTAATCCTCTTTTTATAAGCTAAACCAGTTGAGCTTCTTAAATCTTTCTCTCCTAGGCATTTTCTTGAGCTCCATAATCATACTCGGGTTTTTTTATTTTCCCAGTTTTTCTAAGTCTCCTTGAAAAACATGATCATTAGCACTGCATGTAGCATTCCAATGACAGTCTTGTTAAGGATACACACAGGAGTAAAATTTTCCCCTCTTTCTGTTAGCTACACCTCTGTTTATGCATATTAAACCTCACAAACATCCCTCTGTATTCTCATCCTTGCCTTTACCATTGGTGGTTCATGTCAAAATATCACATTTGACACCGGCAATTAAATGTGCTTTTCAAGGACAGACTTTCCAGCCTATGCCATTCTATGATATCCTTCAATGCTGTGCTAGATAAGCTGACTTCAAAACAGCTGGGTCTAAACTGTCGCTTAACTGTTTTACCAAATCACTTCTTGGGCTTTGCAGGACAACAGTCTGATCTGCTGCTGAGCATCTGTCACGTTAGGAAAACTGAAATATAAACTGGATTGCGTCAGTCTTTTCCTTTGTACTGACTTAGGCTATGTCTCTGAACCAACAGGTGATTGATGAATTCACCAAAGCCTTGGATTTCACCAGGAAATGCAGGACTTGACTGCTCTGGGTACAAGACCTAATTTTCTTTAGATCTTAGCCACCTCTTAAAGGAGAATCTAGCTGTCTTTAGGGCACTCAGAACTAATGACACATTGTTTCGTGTTTGCTTCAAACAGGAGAGACACAAGGTAAGAAACCAAATTAAGCTACAGCAGGCTGAGGTTCACCTTTTTCTTAAAGGAGGTTTCCTGTGGACAACTGGGCAAGTCACTTTGACTGAAGTAACTGAGCCAAACTAACAGTTGGCTGTTTCAGAGAAGAGGCTGCATCATTACAGCTTCTCCCTCACCTGGCTCTACTCCTATCAGGTCCTTGTTAACTCAACTGGATGCAATCATAGAATGGTTTGAGTTAGAAGGGACCTTAAAGACCATCTAGTTCCAAGCCCCATGCCATGGGCAGGGACATCTTCCACTACACCAGGTTGCTCAAAGCCTCATCCAACCTGGCCTTGAACACTTCCAGAGATGGGGCATCCACAACTTCTCTGGGCAACCTGTTCCAGTGCTTCACCACCCTCAGAATGAAGAAATTCAACCTTTTAGGATGTATTCTCTGCCGGTGTAGCACTTTAAAGTTGCACTCTCTGATCTGGTTAGCCTATGGCTCTGCCTCTTTCATTGTTGAATAGAAACCATTTCAGTAAACAAGAGCACATAAGGTGGACTTCTGTTGACTAGCATGGTAATTTTTCTCATTGAAGGTGTTTGGGAGTATCTCTGGCTGATCTCCATCTACTGTTTCAGAAGGACTTAGATCTCCTTCTACTCCTACATCGTAACTGGACAGCACATGCATATCTTACACCCCAGGCTGAAACATCTTAAGCTCCTCC